TCCAGTTGTGACCGACTCTGGGGTTGCGGCGCTCATCTCGCTTTATTGGCTGAGGGAGCCGACGTACAGCTTCCGGGTCATGTGGCCAGCATGACTAAGCCGCTTCTGGTGAACCAGAGCAGGCACAAGGAAACGCCGTTTACCTTTCCGCCGGAGCAGTACCTATTTATCTACTTGCACTTTGACGTGCTTTTGAACTGCTAGGTTGGCAGGAGCTGGGACAGAGCAATGGGAGCTCACCCCATCATGGGCATTCAAACCGCCAACCTTCTGATCGGCAAGTCCTAGGCTCTGTGATTTAACCCACAGCGCCACCCACGTCCCTCTTACTTTTATAGGTAACCAGTAATTATGCCTGAGGCCACATCTGCACCAATACATTTAAAGCACTACTGTACTGCTTTGACAGTCCTGCCTTCCCCAAAGAATCCCAAACCGGAGTGGTGTAGTGGTTAAAGTTTTTGACTAAGACCTGGGAGGCCAGGGTTCAAATCTCCACTCTGCCATGAAGCTATCTGCAGTTGCTAAACTTGGAAGGATAGGAATCGTGTGCTAGCCTCCACCCTCCATTGAAATGCAAAAGAGAGCCGTCTAACCCCTAAGTTCATTGAGCTATGGTTCATTGAGCTAAATTCAATGAGCTATGGAACCATCTCTCAATCTCCCTACATCCTTATGTAATCAGGGCAACTTACTGCAAGTCTTTAACCAGCAATACCAAGAGCCCTGAGATTGTCTGTCACCGCCCTCACCCCCAAGAACCAAATGTACCCATTGATTGATGCTTTCTGCTTTAAACGTGTTTACAGTACTGAATTTTACATTGTTGTAACCTGCCCTGGCACCTGTTGGTAAAAGGGCTGGTAATGAATTCAGTACATTATACCGATGACGATATTGTTCCTCTGGCATCTCTTTGTTCCATTGTAAAACTGTGTACAGCAGATTATCCTTGTTCTTGTTTCCAGTCACTATAACTTCTTCTGAACCCGTGAAGTGAGCGTGTTTTGAGGAGAAGTCTTGCTAGCATTCTCAGTGCCCCATGAGAACTGTCTCAAAACTCTCAGAAGGCCATTGAACAAAACTCCTGCTATCAAAGTTGTTTGTTTATTTAGTACATTTACACCCCATCTTTTCTTCCAAGAACCTGAAGGTGACGTACATGGTTCTTTCCTCCCCCCCTTTTTAAAAAAACTCCTCACAACGACCTTGTGGGGTAGGTTAGGCTGAGAGGCAGGGACTGTTGGCCTGCAGAGGGCTGAGAGGCCAGGTGGCTAGTCCCAACTGGGCCGTCTCCTTCCAGTCTTCCCGCTTCGAAGACCATTGGCATCTGCTCCGATGTAAACCAGCGACCCAGACTTCAAAGCCAGGCACACTATCAGCAGAGCGAACTGTGCACACAGAATAGGCGTGAGGCTTGTGAAAGCATACTACAACTACAGATTTATTAATCATAAATCAGGACAAAGAAACATGTCTCTCTCTCTATACACACAACGGAAGTTCCCAGCAAGCTGTGCTGGAATGTAAACAGACATGTGACGCGCAACAGTTCCACACGTCTGTTCCTTAAGGTGGAATGGAAATGTTAACAGGGACTGTCCCAAGATCACACAGCAAGCTGCATGCAGTGGCGTAGCGTGGGTTGTCAGCACCCGGGGCAAGGCAAGTAATTTGCGCCCCCTAACCCGTGGATTTGCGCCCCCTAACCTGTGGATTTGCCCTAACCCCAGATGTTGCGCCCGGTGCGGCCGGCCCCCCCTGCACCCCCCACGCTACGCCACTGGCTGCATGGATTCAAACCCTGGTCTCCCGGGCCATAATCCAACCATCCAGAGATGGAAACTAACCGGGTGCCGGTCATGTTTCACGACAGGCCCAAGCAGCCTTTTGCAAGGAGTTGGAGGTGTCTGGTCGCCACATTTTGGCCACTAGCATCTTCATCTGGCTAGCTGTTGCAGCTGCCAGGCAGCTGGCTTGTGGGGTGGCATGGCACCAAACGAAACACACATTTTGGTTCTGCACAAGCCAACCGATTTGCGCAGGAGCTCGGCACTCAAAGACAGCCGCACAGATCAGCTGGTCTGTGGGCCACCTAGGCATTCCGTTGTGGTGGCTGAAGCCAAGGTTTAATTTGCCATTTGGCTCCCAGCTTTTAAATCTCAGTTTCTAACACTGTAACCATCAGACCACACACTGTCTCTCGCATCTTGTTTTTCAGCATAGCCAAACAGATGCCTCTGAGAAGCCTATAGGCAGGATATTTCTGCCTAGCAGATCCCTTTTACTGCGTGCTAAGAATGTCCAATACCCATTTCCTAGATCTGCATGCTTTTTGAGAGCCAACCTGCAGGGCAGCTCTGTGCCTTGGCTTTGCTCCTGGAAAACCCTGACTTAATGCCTACACACCAGACTCTTACAGCAGAGCTTTCCAAACTGAATGTTGGCTGCATTGCGCAGGTGTGTCGCACAAACACTCCCCACGCACGTCCCAGGGCGGGAAAGGGGTTAGTTTAACCCAGGCATAGGCAAACTCAGCCCTCCCAAGATGTTTTGGGACTACAACTCCCATGATCCCTAGCTAACAGGACCAGTGCTCAGGGATGATGGGAATTGTTGTCCCAAAACATCTGGAGGGCCGAGTTTGCCTATGCCTAGCTTAACCTCTGGTTTGCTAGTAAAACTGAATTACTGTGCCACAAAATGATGCATGTCTAAAAAGTGTGTCACCAACATGAAAAGTTTGGAAAGCTCTGTCTTACAGGAATATAACTGCCTGCTGCCTTCATCTCCCCTACTTGTGCTGGACCCCCGAAGAGGCGCCAAACGACAGAATCAACAGCCTTCTCATTTGTTGCTCTTAGCCATTTCTCGGCGCAACACCTGTGACTTTATTTTAAGCCTCCGTTTTCCTATGCTGTTCTTTCGACTTCATTAACTCCTGCACCCAGCTGCAAACTGGCAAGAGTGTGCTTGATCCCTTCAGAGCTTGTTACTAAGTACACATGCATTAAGCCCGCATTTGCAAAGAACACAACAGAAGACTCATGCAGAAAAGCTTTCTGCCCTGCCCAAATTGCCATGTAGCTTGAAAAACAGCTGATCGGTATTTAATGTGGCCTATTCCCAGGCTCATCTGATGTTGAAAGGAAGCCCCATTATGTGGTCTTCCCTAAGAAAGTTGCAAAATTGTGAAAAAATTTCTTCTTTTGATGATTGCTTTTGTCTGGGCGCACGCTGAACTTCCTGATTCTCAACTTTGGGCAATACGGAGGAAGGAAATGCCTTGCCCTGTATTTTCATAAAGATTGTGAGTTATTTTGGAATTGCCAAAATGTTACATAAGTTTCTTCCACCATTAAATAATAAAAGAAAACAAGAGTCAATTGGTTGCCACATCTCGGCGTGCCAAGTCCCGTTTCATTTTCATTTTTTGCAGCAGAAAGTGTCACTGTCAGCACACTCTTGGAAATTCCTTCCTGATCCTGGAGGAATTTTTTTTGGGGGGGACATGCTAACTCTAGGCTGCCCAAGGTTGTGCCGATCGGTTATATGTAAGCAGTGCGGGGGTTTGCACCATGTAAACTTGCATTTTAAATGACCTTCCTTAAACTGAATAAATTCAGTTCATTATTATGAATAAGGGAAGTGGCTTCTTGGAAATGTTCTAATCGGTGGTCAAGGGAGAAACAGCCATCTAAAAGATGCTTTTTAACAGCACGGCTTTAGCAGGAGCATGGAATGAAATTTGAGAAGTACAGTGGTGCCTCGCAAGACGAAATTAATTCGTTCCGCAAGTCTCTTCGTCTTGCGAGTTTTTCGTCTTGCGATGCACGGTTTCCCATAGGAATGCATTGAAAATCAATTAATGCGTTCCTATGGAAACCGCCTTCAGACCAGGTCCGGGGACAGTCTGTCCCCCGGCCTCTTCTGAAGGCTGGGGGGGGGACAAGGGCTTTTCTTCCCACCCCCCAGCATTTAAAAAAACCCCGGGACAGCGGAGGACTTCTTCTGAAGGCGGGCGGGGGCAAAAGTCTTTGTTCCCCCCTGCCTGCCTTCAAAAGCCTTCCGGGACAGTGGAGAAACGCGCTGCATTTCTCCGCTCTCCTGGGAAGGCAGGCAGGGGGGAACAAAGACTTTTGCCCCCCGCCGGCCTTCAGAAGGTGTTCCTGCCCGCCGCCCGGCTTCGGAGGAGGTCCGAGGACAGTGGGGAAGATGCGCTGCGAAGCAAGCCCATAGGGAACTTCGTCTTGCGAAGCGCCTCCAAAACGGAAAACCCTTTCATCTAGCGGGTTTTCCGTCTTGCGAGGCGTTCGTCTTGCGGGGCACCACTGTAGTTTGGCTCTAGAAATCCTATAAAGTGGCAGAGTTGCGCTCTCTCTCTCTCTCTCTCTCTCCCTCTCCCCTGAACCTCATAGTGCCTGTGACCTCCCATAAGAAGTAGATTCTGCCCCAGTTCAAGGAACAAGTTTTTTTCTCAGCAATGCACCTTACCTTATGTCAGAGAACCATAGTTAACTTCCACAAGCAGAACACAACAGAAGAGGCTGTAGAAAGGTACAGGGAAGGCTTAATTAGGCACACCTCTTGATTACCCTTGCAAGGCTAATGCAATTTTAGGCTGCATTAATAAGACCACCAGGAAGCTCTTCCAGTGCTTGACCCAAATCTACCCTTCTATTAGACCTGACCCTGTCCTCTGGGCACAAGGGAACAAGTCTGTGCCCTCTTCTGTGTGTCAACCATGCAGCTATTTGAAGAATGCCGTCATGTCCCTCCTTCAACCTTTCCTTCTCCAGGCTAAAAGATACTCAGTTCTTTCCATTGTTGCTCATAATAATTGCTTTCCGTTGCCCTGCTTGTTCTTGTTGTTGCCTTCCTCTGAACCCCTTTCAATTTGGACAAAAAGATCACATTCAATACAGTAGTAGTAGTAGTTTTTGTTGTTGTTAATCTATTTTCAGTGTTAATTACTTAGGCTTGCCACTTTTATTTTTTAGATAGACTTCACATGCAGTTTGCAAGATGACGCCAAAGCATGAAAAACAGGTAAGTGCTTCAATTTGTGTGTGTGTTGCTTTTTTAGTTTGGAAGGGGGTGTTTTCCCTAGAAATATGGAACTTTGTTTTATACTACTAAAAGCAGAAATGTTCTGCAAAATGTTTCTGCGTTGATCAGCCACTATTCAGCGAACAGCTTGCAAGTTGGGTGTGACTATATCACCAACCAGCACTGAGTAAACAGGGCAGCTTATATCTGGGGTAGCATCTTAGGAGACAAAGTAGGTTGTGTAATTGCTGCAATGAAGAGATGGCAGAAATAGTCCCCCCTAGCTGGATGTTGTAATGCGGCGCATGGGGGAAGTCCCAAGTATCTGGCTCTTTTGCAAGCCGGGGTCACAATGAAAGACAATTCTGCTGACATAGGCTGTTCCTCAGTGCTTGGAAGCAAGTTTGGGAGACCTTTGACCCTTCAGATGCTGCTGAACTACAGCTCTTATCATCCCTGGGCATTGACCATGCTTGCTGAGGTTGATGGAGTTGTAGTTCAGGACAGCCAAAGGTTCCCCACCTCTGGCTTATAAGAGCCATGTGTACAGACTGGCTCCCAGACAGGAGTTGACTCTGTTATGCTCCTCCTTGGTCCTTTAGCTCAACGTGACATGGCAGCTAAGCCAAGGTTAGACTCAGAGTGTCATCCAACCTAAGGATTGTGGTTAAGGAGGAGAGACCTTAACCCCGATCCCAGATTCTTGGATCCCTTTGCTAAGCCAACCTTTGGCTCAGCTCCTATGCTGTGTTGAGCTAAAAGGCCTCATGATAGTCCAAGAAGTGGTAGTTCGTTTGCAAGCCGTGCAGTGATCTGATGAGATGGACGCGACCGAGGATAGGGCAGCGAGGAGAAGGGCGGTGCCAAGCAGACCATGGTTCGGATGCGTGTAGGGAGGCGCAGATGGTCTAAACGAACAAAGGTGTTAGGTAGGGCAGCTGTAGAGTGAAGTTATCAAAGGAAGCTGTTAATGGAGCTGTTAAATGAAAGCTGTCAGATGAGTCAAAAGGCGAAGCTGTCACGAAGCAAGCTGTCAATGGAGCTGTCAAACGGAGCTGTCAGATGAACTGTCAAAAGCGAAGCTATCAACGAAGCAAGCTGTCAATGGAGCTGTCAACGGCTGTCAGATGAACGAAGCAGCTGTCAATGGAGCTGTCAACGGAGCTGTCAATGAACGAAGCAAGCTGTCAATGAGCTGTCAACGGAGCTGTCAAACGGAGCTGTCAAACGGGCTGTCAAGTGCTGTCAGCGCGTTGAACGTAGCTTGATGGTGTTGGTATCTGGGATGATTCGACGTCCAGTTGGTGTCGCGGTGTCTGGTCCGGTCTGTTGAGCCCGACCTTGGCCCCGATCTGCTGGTCCGGTCTGTTGAGCCCGACCTTGGCCCCGATCTGCTGGTCCGGTCTGTTGAGCCCGACCTTGGCCCCGATCTGCTGGTCCGGTCTGTTGGGCCCGAATTGGCCCCGATCCAGTCCGGTCTGTTGGTCGTCGTCGTCAATATATGAGGCGGTGGAGCAGGTGGAGTCGAAAAGGTGAAGTCCTCGCCGTTGCTTTCTTCAGTCTCCGTGGAGGGGGTGAGGACTTGCACCTAGTGTGATGTAACCAAGAATTCTTCTCACCTATTTTCACGGCGGTTGGCGATGTCAAGAGTACTTGGTAGGGACCTTCCCACGCGGGTTGGAGTGGTTCCTTCTGGTAGACTTGACGAGGATCCAGTCACCAGGGTGGAAGGAGTGAGCGTGGACGTCGATGGGCAGGTTCTGTCCCTCGATGGCCGCGTAGTGGTGGAGACGCTGTAGTTGTGTCTGAGCTGAATAACATAATTAGTAAGTTCTGCTTCCCCCAGCTCCAGTTCTGATAGTGGGAATAAGTGTTGTAGACGGGAGGAGGTCTCCCGAATAAAGTTCGAATGGAGAAGTTTCAAACGTCCGGTTGGGGGCGCTGCGGATGTTATGAAGACCAGTGGGAGTGCATTCACCCATTTTAGGCCAGTGAGCTCGCAAAGTTTGCCCAACTGTGTTTTTATTCCTGGTTCATACGCTCACTTGGCCAGAGGATTGTGGGTGGTATGGAGTGTGGAGTCCCATTAATTTGGAGTGCCTTGGCCACTAATTGCACCACTTCTGCAGTAAAGTGGGTTCCCCTATCGCTGTCTAGGCGGCGGGGTATGCCATAGCGGGGAATGATATCTGTAGGAGGGCCCTGGCAACTACGGATGCGGTGGCTTTTCTGCAAGGGAATCCCTCCACCCACGAGGAGAATTGGTCACTATAATCAAAGTGTTTAAAGCCTTGGCATTGGGGCAGATCAATGAAATCAAGCTGCAAGTTCTCAAAAGGGACAAAGGCCCATGGTCTGGCTCCTGGTGGTCTCCTGGGCTCTCGTTTGGGATTGAAGCGATGGCAGGTAATGCAATTCTTTGATGCTGCTGCTGCAGCGGCGCTATCCCGGGTGCGTACCAAGATCTAATTACATGCTCCATTAATCTCCCTTTTCCCCAATGTGTCCGCTGATGAAGAACCTCACTACTTTTGGAGTCCAGGCCTTTGGAAGGACGGTTCTTCCATCGGGGAGGACCCAGACACCCTGTTGTTCGGTGGCCCTAGCGATTCCCACGTAGCCTTTTCATCCCCTGGGGCAGATTTGTAAATTTCTGTAAGTCTAGGTCTGCTGGTAGTTGGAGGGCTTGAAACTCGGATTCATTGTTAGGGATGCGTAGGCAGCCATCTGTGCGGCTTTGTCGGCACGTCTGTTTCCTTTAGAAACTGAGTCCCTGCCCTTGGTATGGGCTTTGCAGTGGACAACGGCTATAGCGGCAGGTAGGTGGATCGCGTGAGAAGTCGCTCAACTAGGGCGGCGTGCGAGATTTGAACCCGGCCGCGGTTAGAAAGCCTCTCTGGAGCCAAATTTGGCCAGTTGTGTGCACAAGGCCGAAACAGTTATTTGCTATCCGTTATAAATGGTTATTCGTTTCCCTTCACCAATCTCGCAGGCACGCAGTAGCCGGCAATTAACTCGGCAGCTTGGGCACTGTACTGGGAGTTGATTGGGTTCGACTCTAGTACTTTCGAAGTCAGGAGACCACCGCATACCCAGTCTTTCTAACCCGTCAATTACTTTAGAGCTACCGTCAGTATATAGTAATTAAGTCCGGGTTCTCCAGGGGAAGATGATCTAAGTCTTCGCGGGGCTTTTCGGCTTGCCGGACTATAGTGGTGCAGTCATGATGCGGGGTGCCATCATCGGGAAGGGGTAGTAGGGTAGCGGGGTTTAGCGAGTTGACACGTTTAATGGTGACATTGGTTGGGGTTAGCAGGAGGGCTTCATACCGGTTGAGGCGGGAGTTTGAGAAATGGTGACATCCTTTTAAGGTTAGGAGGGTTGAGACTGAGTGGGGAACGTGAAGGGTGATTTCGTGGCCCAGAACCGTCTCTTGGGCTTTCTCGAGGAGCGACGGCAGCGGCTGCGATGGCTCTGAGGCAACTGACAGGCCCCTTTTGCCAGTGTTGTCAAGTTGTAGACTATAATATGCTACTGGCCTCTCCTGATCGCGAGAAGGGTTGGGTTAGGACACCAGAGGCTACCCCCATTTGCTCGTGGAATGAACAGGTTGAAAGGGATTCGGTAGTCGGGTAGTCCTAGGGCAGGAGCGGATCTGAGTTCCCGTTTTAGTCGTTCAAAAGAGCTGTAAGCTTTCTTCCTCCCAGACTAAGGTGTCTGGGTGGTCCTGACGCGTCATGACAGTTAAGGGCTTCGTTATTTCACTGTAACCAGCGATCCATGCCCGGCAGAAGCCGGCCATGCCAAGGAAGCCGCGCAGCTGCCCGCTTTGTTTTTGGGAGAGGGATTTTAGTGACTGCCTCAATCCTGTCAGTGGCTAGACTTTGGTCCCTACACCCAAGATGTGTCCCAAATACTTAACTTCTTGTTTACAATACTGGAGTTTCTTTGGAGATACCTTATGTCCTTTCCTCGCTAGTTCTGATAGGAGGGTGTTTGGTATCTATCTTACACGCCTCCTCGCTGGTAGAACATAATAAAATATCATCCACGTAAAGAAGTAAGGTGGAGCTAGCCGGTAGGTGGATGTCCTCTAAGTCCTGATGTAGTACGGCCGAAAAAATTGCGGGTGACTCTACGTAACCTTGGGGCAGTCTGGTCCACGTTAGTTGGCCAGGCCCCCAGGTAAATGCAAAAAGAAACTGGCTAGCCGGATCCAGGGGTATACTGAAGAAGGCAGAGCACAGATCGCTGCGGAGTACCAGGTCGTCCCTGCTGGAATGGCGTTTAGGAGGGAGTTCGGGTTGCCAACTACCGGTGTCGGGGTATCACGAATTGGTTCACTAATCTCAAGTCCTGTACAAAACGGTACCGTACAGGTGTCCCTCCTTAGCGGGCTTCTTGACCGGGAGAACTGGGGTATTACAGGGTGAAGCGCATGAGATTAGGATCCCCTTCTCGAGGAAGTCTTCAATCATGGGTGTTAGGCCGTCTATGGCTTCTTTGGGCAGGGGGTATTGCTTGGTGCACGGGAAGGGTAGGTCACTTCGGTAAGTGATCTTGACTGGAAGTAGCGGAGAGTAAGAGCCCGACTGAAGTTGATTCAGTGCCCCATAGGGAGGGGGCAATTCCTTTTCAGGTCTAGAGGGAGCTCGGGAAACTGTCGGTCCGCTTTAAATTCCTGAACGATACCTTGGAACATGGGGATAGAGTTCCCTGGCATATGTAGGTAAATGCCATCCGGGGAGCATTTTATAGTGGCGTTAAGTTTGCAGAGAAGGTCTCTGCCGAGGAGATTGACAGGGCTGCTTGTTAAAAGGAAAGTGTGTTCCGCTAGTAATGGTCCGAGGGTGACCTTGGCCGGTCGCGAGAGTGGGCAAGTGCGGGGTATCCCATCCAGTCCCATCACTTTCTTGGTCACTGTCCCTGGTTCCAGGTGACTGTCGGTTAGGGTGGAATAGGTAGCCCCCGTGTCCAATAGGCATTGATAGGGGTGGCCGTCTATTTCGATAGTACAGACCGGG